ATATATATATATATATATATATATATATATATATATATATATATATATATATATATATATATATATATATATAAGGTATCTGATAATTGTAACACACCAACTCCATAGAGGTGTACAGCGAGAGGATCAGAAAAGTCCTCTTCCATTTAGCGATAATGCGTCTAGTTTGTTAGAAATAACCGCGTAAAGTTTGGCGTTTATCACGCCCATCGCGGCTTATAGACGCTCCGCGGCGAGCTGTGTGTCGAAGCCATGGACATAGTATATATGGACTCCGAATGCCCTGTTTTGTCGTTTAATAGAGTGAAGCCAACATCTAGAAAGAGAATAGAGTTTTCTTCCTATTTTATCACTTTTTGTTGCGCGTTCATCCATTTCTTGTTTCCATAATATTATAGAGCGCAACAACACCCAGACTAGACTGGCAAGTAAAAGTCTTACTTAAATCTTATTGCATGCTTTGTCTGTGCAGAAAGACAGAGAACAAAAGGGGCTGTACATATTGGCCCATATTCTCAATCCTCTTTTATTTATAAAAGTGCCTCTAAAAGAGGCTTAGGAGCTACCTGATAGACTGAGAAGCTATATTCAAGGCACTTTTATCGAAAGAGAGTTCAGAATATGAGCCATTGGGTTCTCTTTTCTGTATGCGGAATTTATGTATATTATGTCTATGGCCTCTTTTTATGGTCTCTTTGGCTTGACTTTTATGGCCGTATGCGGGGTCCATGTATACTACGTCCATGGTCGAGGCTAAGCGATAACGCGGCTCACGCTAACCGCTGCGATGGCATCTTGACGCTGCCGGCGCGCGGCGAGGCGACGATGAACGCGCCGCGTTCCGCTTCGACGCACCAGCTCGCCGCGGAGTGTCTAGAGATGTGCCGCGATGTGTGTGATAAACGCCTATTACTAACAAAGTAGACATGTTATCGTTAAATGGAAGAGGACTTTTCTGATCCTCTCGCTTAGCTGTACGTCCCTGGTGAGTGGTGAGTTACAATTATTAGACACCCTGTATATATATATGTATATACAGGGTGTCCCGTATCACCTTCACAATTTTTCGTGAGGACGTAGAGCGGATTGAGATGAACACAAAAGTCTCATACCGTTTTGCGATATTCTCAATAATAACCAAGAAATTAATTAAAGAAGATTGGTGAATGATCACGCGCAATATGGTAGATGAGCTGCAGTGGCACCGTCTGCCATTATATACTTATACATTAAGTCAAACGGAACAAAAAAGTCCTCTACCATTTTGCAAATGACCACATAGATTTTTAGATATTAATAAAAGAAAATTTGTGCGTTGTAGTATACAATCATGTAACAATTTTCTTTAATTAATATCTAAAAATCTATGTGGTTATTTGCAAAATGGTAGAGGACTTTTTTGTTCAATTTGACTTAATGTATAAGTATACAACGGCAGATGGTGCCACTGCAGCTTATCTATCATATCGCACGTGATCATTCACCAATCTTCTTTAATTAATTTCTCGGTTATTATTGAGAATATCGCAAAACGAGATATGGGATTTTGTGTTCATCTCAATCCGCTCTATGTCCTTGCGAGAGATTGTGAAGATGATACGGGACATATATATATATATATATATATATATATATATATATATATATA